AAGGAAGAGGAAAGGAAGAGGAAAGGAAGAGGAAAGGAAGAGGAAAGGAAGAGGAAAGGAAGAGGAAAGGAAGAGGAAAGGAAGAGGAAAGGACGAGATGAATAAGAAAATAAGAAAAAAAGAGGTAAGAAAAGAATGAGAGAAATAAGAAAAAAGAAGAATATGAGAATAATAAGAGAAAAGGAGAATAAGATAATAAGAGAATAAGAGAAAAAAAAGAAAAGAGAAAGAGAAAATGAGAAAAAGAAGAGAAAAAGAGCCAAAGAGAGAACAAGTGAAGGAAGGACATAAGGGAAAGGAAAGGGCTGGGAGGGGTGGGAAGGAGGAGACAGAGGAGCAGAAAGCAGGGGCTGGCAAGGGAGGGGCAGGGGCAGCAGGTGCCGGCGGGTGGGGTGCTCCCGGGGAGGCACAGTGGGTGCCCCCGGGGGGTCCGTCGGCCATGGTGGGTGCGTCCCTGCTGGCCAGGGCGTCATCACGATATCCGCGGGGCCGACCTGTCGTTGGTGACGGTCCTGCGCAGGCGCACCCCACGCCGGATGGCCACCAGCATATCTTCGGCCGGGGGGTCCATGGAGGCCGCCGGGGGGGGCGCAGGGGTCTCCTCGCCAGGGCCGGACCCCGCGAGGGCGGTGGGGAAGGGGAACTGGCCTTCCCCCAGGGCATGGGCACCAGCTACCAGCTCACCGATCTTCTCCACCAAGCTGTGCCGGTTGGCGGCCAACTGTTGGTCCTCCTCTTCCTCGGCAGAGAGGTGCTGGCCAGCCCCGGGGTAGACAGAGATCTCCATGGCGCCGCCACCCCAGGCGGTGTTGGGAAGGCTCAGCCGCTTGGGCGAAGCTTTGGCAAAATCCAGGGGGTTCGGCGAGGTGTCATCGGCGTAGAAGACGCACTCTTCGCTGCCCACTCGCGTGGGGCCGGTGTAGCCGGGGGAGTCGGGCACCGTGGGGGTCTTCACAGGGACGATGGGGGGTCGGATGGGGATGGGGCCAGCGTTGGAGAGGGTGCGGCGGACTGAGGGCTTGGTGGAGGGCGTGCGGCGGATGGTGGCCACTCCCGGGGTGGTGCCAGCTGGTAGGTTGGTGCCAGTGGGCAGCCCGGCGGTAGAAGCAGGGCGCTTGGTCTGGATCATCCGCCGGTAGTTCTGGGCGATGTTGCTGTTGCGCGGGATGGTGGACGACTTGTCAAAGTCGCTCTGGGGGTCACACTCCACGTCGCCATTCACTGAGTAGCAGTCATAGTCAGAGCCTGGGGAGGTGGCAGCATGGTCAGCACGGCTGGGCGGGCGGCCCAGCTGGCACTGCCAAGCCCAATCGCCACCTTCACAATGCAACTGCAGCCAGCCCCAACCAGCACTGCTGCAGCGCAACCACAACTGCCTCAACCACCACCACGACACAATCCCAATGGGCCCCAACCATTGCTGGTACAACATGCTCACCATCAAGCCCAACCACCCAACCATCACCGTCACAAGGCAACCACAAGCAAACCCAACCATCACCATCAGAAGGCAACCACAATCACCCCAACATTGAAATCACAACCAAAACCAACTGTCACCATTGCAACGTGACCACAATCAGCCCCAGCCGTGACCATTACAACTAGCCTCAACCCATCACTGCCACATGGTTGCAGTCAAACCCAACCATCACCACCACAACCACTCCAACCACCACCATCACAATCCCAGCCAAGCTCCACCACCATGTGTCACAACTGGCTCAGCCAATACAATTGCAGCAAAACACAACTGTCCCCGTGGTTACTTGATCTCCAGCTACCACCTCTGCTGTCACCACCCACCATATGCCACCATCTCAGCCTGTACCCAACCGCTGTGCACAAACACATCACTGCAAACTGTCCCCAACCACACTCCACATGGTGCTACCTGTTATTGCAAAGCCTGGCACAACCGTAGCCATCAAGACCCAACTAACACCCAACTAACCCGGAATCCTCATGGTTACCATGTGGCACAACACTTGTGCTGCCCACTGAACCCCCAACACCCACAACTGATACATCTTCCCCGACCAGCCCCCATGTGACATGACCACAGCCCAATGCTACCAACACCCAGCACATGATGTGCCCCAGGACCTCCAAAGCCTCTGCTGTCCCCCTCCCCTCTCCAGGTGCTGTTTTGGGTGGCTCCAGGTGGCCCTCGCTGCCACGGGATGGTACCTTGGGAAGGGATGGTGTCCTCAGAGCAGGAGGGGGTGGTGGTCTGCGTGCTGTAGCCGCTGGAGTACTGCAGCGAGTCCCGGCTGCTCTTCTGGTGCTCCAGGCTCAGCCCCCGGGTCAAGACCATGGCCAGGTCACTGGCAGCGGGGGACACCTCCTCCCCATGCTGTGGGGGCAAGGGGACACCATCAGCACCCTGGTTCCTCTCTTGGGAGCCCCCCACCTCTGTGCTCGCTTCGCCAGAGCTGGTACCTTGGCGGCAATTGTGGCTGGTGACATTCGGGGCCTGGGAGCATCCTCGCCGCCGATGCCCGGGTACCCGCTGGCGGGTGAGCCCATCTCAGCTTCCCGCAGGTGCTCCACGCGGTCCTTGCGCCGCTGCAGGGTGGGGACCACTGGCTGGTCATAGGGGCTGGCCTTGGACCAGTCCTGCAACGGGCAAGGCACAGGGTGATGCTGGGGACAGTGGGACCAGGACTGGGGCAGGGCAGGAGGGGGCAGGCACCAACATCCACCTCCGAGCCACGGATACACCCCGTGTAGGGGGTGGGATGGGGGAGATCTGGGGGCTGAACCTCCCTGAGGTGTGGGGGGACCCATGTGGGAAACACAACACTTGCGGGAGGGGGAACAGTGCTGGGAAAGGGAAGAGAGGAGGAAGAGGGAGCTGCTGCTGAAAGCTTCACCTTTCCGCCACCTGCCCGTGCCCCAGCGGCAGAGCAAGAACTAACCGAGGTGGGGGAGCTGCACTCGCTAACGGACTGGCAGGTTTCGGAGGCCTCCGAGGACGCCGAGCTGGAGGACTTCTGCCGTGCCGGGAGGCCGTGCCATGAGCCGGAGGGGAGAGAAGAGGCGGTTAAGCAAGCACAGCCACAACCCCGGCGCACAGCAGCATTCACAGCTTTCCCAGCCAGCCCCCAGCCCATGGCAGCAGACACAGAGAGGCAAGAAGGATCCAACTCGGCATGGGAGCGGGATCCCCAGGCATGCCCATGGCGCCCCTGAGCAGGGCAGGCATCCCCAATATTCCTAATATTTATCTCCCATGATGCCAACACAGATGGAAACACATCTTGGGGTGGGTTCCATCACCTCTGCACCGGACCCTTGTGTTGTGCTGAGCAGCACCCACCCATTCTACAGAAGAGAAAACTGAGGCACGGGGGTGGGCAGTGCTGAATGCCCCATCCCCGTACCTGGCTCGTGATGTCCGAGGGCATGGGGGAAGGCGGTTTGGAGTAAGTGGCGTCCTGGGAGATGAAGCCGGAGTCGTGGGAGGAGACGCTGGAGAGGCGGGTGGTGGTGGCGGGGGGCTGCGCCAGGCTGCGGTAGCGATAGGTGGAACTGGGTGAGCAGGTCTGAGCCCCGCCGGGCCACGCCATGCCACCCTTGGCACTGCTAACGCTGCTGGGGGGGCGCCGGGGGGGGCGGGGACACGCCAGCGGGGAGGACAAAGGAAGGAAAAGAGAGTTTAAGACGGAGGTTTGGAGGTGGCGGGGTCCACAGGCAGCAAGCCCAGCACCCTGCCGCACAGCCCAGCCTGGGGAAACGGAGGCACATGGTCCCTGCGGGGTGACCCTTTCCCTTCTGAGGTCGCTCAGTGGCAGGGGAACATGGCAAAGGTGACATGTTTGCCCCCAGACCTCCCCTGCACAGCTCACATCATCACCAAAACCTGGAGGACGGGGCAAGTGCCAGGCACTTTTCCTACCCCATCAGTCCACCAGCCCCAAACCCGCCCTCATCCCAGTGCTCCAAGGCCAGTTTCTCCACATTACTGGGGACCAGTTGGCCATATGGACACGTGGAGGAGAACCTCGTGAGCATCCCCAGAGGTCGTTAAGCATCACTAGCTCCTGGGGTTAACAAAGGGGCTGGATTTCCCGTCAGCCCACGCCACCCTACCTGCACATGCTGGACTTCCGGGAGCTGGAGCTGCTGGGCGAGGATGGGGGGGTCTGGTAGGACCAGCTGTAGTCAGAGCCCTTCAGGTCCTTGATCACCTGCAGGAAGGATGGAGTTTAAGCCCCCCAAAGATGCTCCCCCCCTTCCCCTGCCCTCCCTCGTCC